CATCTGTCTTTTGGTATAAGGGAACTTTTAACCATTTTATCTGGGGGTACCCTTTCTTTTGTGTGCTTCACAGTTGTGCACTATTTAAATGAATGTGATATTGTTGGAGCTAGATATGTTTTTTTGCCCCCTAATTTCTGTTTCACATGGTACAATTAAATAGAAAATGGAGGAAAAATTAATCATTCAAATTTTACAATTATACCTATTGAGCTAGACTTGTCAATGTGGCAACATTGCATTGTTTATTGAAATAAATATTTGCACAAATGAATTGCAAACATAAATGCAAGAAGATTTCATTGACTTATGCAGAAGGAATTCTTTTTTTTGGTGCTACCAATTCAAAAACCAAAATCAGTAGCAGAAAGTAAAGTTTTTTGTATGCTTGAATAATATAAATAAGAATTCAGAGCTCGTCTATGAAATTCCCAATTAATTTAAGTCATGATTTAAAAGTTCCCCAAGATAATGTAATGACGATATGTAGGCATTACTTAACAGTTTTAATTGATTAATTTGTATTTTCATCATTGTGAATTCGAGTCAAACTGATATTCTACAGCACTCCACAGTTTATTTAATAAATGTAAAGCCCATGAGCCCAAAATATGCTTGAGAAAGATACTAATTCATTTGAAAACAGGAATGAAGTACGCGGTGAACAGACCCTGAAAATTTTGACCACCATGCGACAGCAGAATTTGAATACCTAGTTGTTTTTTTTATCAAGTACGGGAAATGATTGTTTTTTGCACGATCAATTACTTTTGTGGGTTGAGGCAGAAAATGAACATTGTGCAAAAAACATCCATTTCGTTCACGAAGTATGAACATTTTTTCTACGAACGTATAAAAATGTGTCTTTTATGTATCATTATTCGTTTCATCTCTACTCGTCACGGCTATCGAAAGCGGCAGAACATTCGTTCGTCATTCGAGTGTGAAAACGTGACGCTGCTCGAAAGTGCTATTACGCCACGTCATTGCGAGAAAGAAAATCACGGTGACGTCACGTTTTGAAGATGTCAGCAGAAATGACTAAACTCAGATTTAAACATATTGACACTTCAAGGCCCCGAGCTGGACGAAAAGAGGGACACTGTCATTCAATTCTTCGTTACGATTTCAGATGTTTGGTATTGGAGCTAATTTGATGACAATGCCCCCTGTCCCTCCAACTCGTGATTTTGAGGTGCCAGTATAAATAAATCAAAGAATAACATCATGCACATGCATTCAAAAGATTCCTCATGTTGAAAAGTTTTCATGTAAAAAGTTTATTTCGCGGTGATGTCACGTATTCTAGATGTCTGAAGAAAATTGTAATTTCATGCACACGCATTTAAAATTTATCATTTTCAAAAGGTTTTCACTGTGACGTCTCGTTTTTAAGATGTCTGAAGAAATCACTAACTTCATGCACATGCATTTAAAATTCATGTCCAAAAGCTTTTTTTTCGCAATGACGTCACGCTTTGAAGATGTCGGAAGAAAAGACTAACTTCATACACATACATGTTCAGAAGTTTATTTCTCGGTGACGTCACGTTTTCAAGTCTTCTGAAGAAACGACTGACTTTATGCATATGCATTTCAAATTCCTCACGTTAACAAGTTTTTTCGCGCAGGCGTCACGTTTCCAAGATGCCTGAAAAAACGACTAACTTCATGCACATGGATTTACATTCGTCATGCTGAAAACTTTCTCAACGTTCATGTTTTTGGCGGTGACGTCACGGTTTCAAGATGTCTGACGAAGAGACGGAGTTTCCGTTCGTTTTTATACGCCGGTAGAAAAATGCGATTGGCGCTGGTGCGTGGGGGGGGGGGGGCGGGGCGCGCCCTGCCGCCGCTTCAGACGAAGGCGCGGGCGCGCGCCGGCGGCGGGGCGCGCGGGGCGGCGCGGGGAGGGGCGGGCGCCGCTCCACATCTCCGTGTTCTCCTCCGCCTCCTCGTCCTCCTCCTGCACGGTGTACACGCCGGCGGCGGGCGGGCGGGGGGGCACGGGCCGGGGGCCGACGGCAGCGGGCAAACGGGCAGCGGGGCGGGGGGCGGCGGGGGCGGCGGCGGCGCCGCCGCAACCGCCTCGGGCACCACCTCCGGCAGCGGGGGCGGCGGCAACGGCAGCGCGTCGAGGGAGGCGTCGGCCGCCGCCGCCGGCGACACAGGCGCCATCTCCAGGTGCGCGCCGCTGCCCGAGATGGCGGTGGACGCCGTCAGGCTGTCGCTCTCGGCGCGCCGCAGGGAGGCGCCCAGCCCGTCCACCCCGTCCTGCGCCAAAGTCATCGTCGTCACCATCTGCTACATGGAACGATGCCACAGGCATTGCCTACGGCCTCTTCCCCATCTTAACAGTCGCTAGAAGTATTAATATACATACGGCAATTTGGGCATAAGGGTGTAATTTTATGACTGGGAAAACTAATTTACTTACTAAGCAAATGAATTGACAAATAAATAAGCAAAATAAACTAAAATGTAATACACAAGCGAAAAACTGTACCTAACTACAGAATTTATTAACACAAACAAAAATAAGGAAAAAAATTGAATTTAACTATCTATTGTGAAAAGTTGAATAAGAGAAGACAAAAACGATCGATGGCCAGGAGCTTCAAATTTTGAAGAGCAAGTAAAAATTCTAAGTTCCGGACATCGAACATTTTTTCTTTACATTAACAGTTGAAGAACTTCTACAGACGTCTCAGAGGCCAAGACAAAGAAATGTTATGCATGGAACGTTGCATTTTTACATTAAGAGCAGTTTCCCACTGTCAACTCAAATGCGGCACAATGTGACATCGAACCTTTTTATTTGCTCTGATTTAGTTACTGTGTTTATCGGTCACATCCGTCTTTAACCCCCGTTAACATGAAACCCAACAGTTTTGTTAAGTGCACTTGTACCTACCTGTAGGTTAAGAAATTTAACATCCTTAGCAACGGGTTTTAACATCCTTATCATCGAAAATCAACCATCGATTTATCGCAAGTCAAATGTTTATTAAGAAAAAAAAACAACCCTGGCGATGTACAAAACAAGTCCGATTCAAACAATTCAGAATAAAAGTAATTCATATTAGTTTTGGGGATAATTATTATTAGTTGTAATATAAATAGTACAAATAAAAATGTACAGTAGGAGAATTAACCTCATTTTTCTGGTATTCCATCAAATGAAACTCTTCTCAGTTAATCAAACTTCCTGACGATCTAAAGATGTCGCCACCGGAAGTCGACGCGCCAACTTGCTAACCGAACGTCATTTCGTTAGATACCTTTAGATTCAGGACAATTATTAGCCTCCATCTTCTCTCAAACCACGGTTTACAAATATTGTTAAAATAGATATATCTGTAATAACACCCGACATTATCGTAGAAACGTGCCGTAGCATCAGAATTCATTTGTTTACTATCGCAGTAATGTAAATTTTCGCAAAAATCATGAAATTTCATGGTGACCGGTAAAATGCAGAACATACCACGAAATGTTACAGTGTTTGGGTTTCGCCATAGGGCTTGGATTACGATGACCTAAAAATACTTTGAAAATTACCTTTAAAATGACTTAAAAATAAAATGAAAATGACGTAAAAAGACTTAAAATAAGGGACAAATGTTCTAATTTTTCAAAAATAAAAATAATTATATAACTATTTGTTTATTCATTGAATTTTACAATTTTAAATGCAATTTATTTTTTTAAAATTATATTTAATATGAAGTCTTTATTTTAGAAGAAAATATATTCCGATCTTCTAACCATTAGTTTCGAAAGGTCCAGGAAGTTATCGAAGATCCGTGTAATTTTGAGAGTTGGAAAATCAGAGTCCACTGAAATAGTGATTTCGTCATGAACTGATGATACAATAAAAAATTATTTTAGAGTGTCATTGTAAATTCATGTAACATTTACTAACAAAAAACACGATAAGAAAAGAAAATGCGCAAAATGACAAAAATGACAAAAACAATTTAAAAAAAAATGACAAAAAATGATCCAATAACTAAATATTTCAATTACCTGTCACATGCCTTGATAAACTTTCATTTACAAGTTAGATACCTTTAAGACCCATTCGCAATGCAAAGGTAAACATAAGCATAACGCATAGACGTAAATATTAACATAAAAGATAGACTGAAGTATTCACTGTCAGACATAAACGTAAGCAAAATAAGAGTTTATATTGGCCGTGAGACATTCTGGTTTACTATTGGTTAGATGTGAGAATCGATGTCGAGGTATCGACGGTATCCATGGCGCATATGGCGTTAGTTCTTCTATCGACTTTACTCCATTTTCGATTCTCGATTTTGAGTTACCGTTCTGTGAATCATTTCTTATGTCTTACCTAAGCATAAGCACAGAGGATTGAAGCTTGCAAGCTTTTAAGTTAACGTCTTACGTGTTATGCTTATGCGAACGCATTGTAAATGGGTCCGCTTATGGACGTAACCCTAACTTATACAACGCCATGCTTATGTTTATGTTTGCATTGTGAATGGGCCTTGAGAGTGCACCAATGGAAAGATGACATGTCGTCGGAATGCGAGCCTTGGTTATTACTGCCTGCGCTGCGCCTCTATTTTGAAGTTTTGGCCTCCGCAGCGATGACAGCTTTAGGCCTGTTGATGTACCTGCGCGAAAAGCGAAGAGGGCGTCCCGCTGCAGAGCGTCTCCTGCGTGAGATTGCGGCGGTAGAGCGTGGCGGCATGCGCCCCCACCCCCGCCCCCCCCGGCCCCCGCCGCGGCCCCGCCGCCCCCCCCCCCCGCCCCCGCCGCCCCCGCCGCCCGCCCGCCAGGCCCCGCGGAGTCGCGTTGTGGTGCGTGGGGAAGATGTCAGGAGGCGGCGTGGCGTACGGGTCGCGCCCGCCGCCGCCTCCTCCAGGAAGTGGCGCTCGCCGCGGCACCCTTCTCCTGCCCCAGCTGCGCCGCCTGGCTGTGAGGCGGCTGCCACGATTCGTCGTGCAGGATGTTGAAGCACATGGCCGTCAAGCGCCATAGCCGTCAGGATGTACGCCGAGCAGAACCAGACCGTCCCGTTGCTCCCGCTCGAGAAGATGTTGTGGGTCTTGGCGGCCGGCCGCCGGCACCAGGTCGCCGAAGCCGATGGTGCTCAGGCTCATGAAGCAGAAATAGCACCCTCGAGAAAACGTCCACTTCTCCAGCTTCACCAGCGCCGCCGCCCCCAAGCACACGACAGCAGCATGAGCGCGAGGCACAGCGCCACGGGCAGCGCCAGGCACCTGCGTTGGCGGCCCGCGACCGCCCGCAGCCCTCGCCGCCCCCGCCGCCCCGTCGCCGCCCCCCGCGCCGTACTCGGGGTCCGAGGGCAGCTTGAGCAGGTCGCCGTCGCGCGCGGGCGAGGTGCAGTTATTGTGCGTGCTGCTGGCCGACGCGCTGACCCCGTCACTGGAAACAAACAAACAAACAAGTAAATAAGTAAACAAATAAATAAATAATAAATAAATAAATAAACAAAACCAAATAAATGAAATAAGTAAACAAATAAATAAATAAACCAACAAATAAACAAACAAACAAATAAATAAACAAAATAAATTAATAGAAATGTTTTGAAAATGAGCAATGTTAGAAGCGAGTTTTCAAATTTTTATAAATGCTATTGCAACATTAACTATAAGCAACATTATAAACGAGTTGCATACGTTATTTTTTATATAACATCATTATACATTTTTAAGAGAATCAAACAATTTTTGCGAAACAACTTCCTTGTGACGTCGCAGGTCTTTGACATCTGTGCGAGAAAACGGTGGTCAGCTGTTCCGTTTACCGCCACAACCCCACGATTCTCTCGCTGCGATTGCCTAAACGTGTGAAAACGCAATCATTCATCCCGTAAAATGCAAATGCGTCATACGTTATACCCGAAAACGCTCGATTATGAACAATTTCTTGCAACAGAAATGGTCTTTGTAATGCTGGGATACAAAAATGTTTTTAATCTTGGCGAGGCTTAAGCCATTTAGCTCTTCCGCCTGACACCAAAAGGAGGTCATTCAATGAAAATACAGGTACCTAGTACTTACACAATGTGGGCGAAGAGTTTCTCTTATACCAGAAGACAGGAGTGAAAGTGAGGAAGGAAGGAGTCGATTGAAAAGGAATGCTCTCCCAGCATTTGTGTGATTTTAATACATTATGAAATGATGAACACGGTATTCATACACGTGTGATACGATACGAGCGAGGAACGAGCAAGCGTATTAATACCCATTACATCGAGTTTCAATCTGTACTTTCTCTACGACTTATGGTAACTTTTGTAAGTTAAACTTCTACATTGAATTGTTTCGTGGCAGTTGACACGCAGAATTCAGCTAAGGTCTCCTAGCCGACAGTTCCCTAACCCTACCCTGCCGTAAGGGCTTTGGTTACCAGTCCGCCTTCGAGGAAGTACTGCGCTAGTTGTATAGAATGAAAGCGAAATTACGATCCAATTTATTTTAAATAATATTCCACATAAAATTACTACTAATAAAATATATGAAAAGCGAATAGCATGATGCAATATTCGATGTATTTTTAAAGTACCCAATCTATTGCAACATTTACTAGATAGATTCTCAATGATTAATGAAGGGTCAATATTTCGTTTGTAAAGTTCACTGTGATTGGTCAAGAATCTATATCATGATGAAATCTGTATCGTAATGAGTAGGACTCGGATGTTTATGACATGTCATATTTTTTCTCTTAGTTATTTCCATCGAAAATCTAAGTTAAGCTTGATTTTATTAACGACTATAATTATGCAATTTTCACGTGTCATTGTAGTCATACTATAGTTTATTACAACCATTTTAAATTTTTTTCATTATATTTGTTATTATAGTCATATTTTTCCATAAAGTTTCGTATTTTTTGTCATATTTTTATTTTTTTGATTCCATTTTCGGATAGTTGCTTGAATTCGTCTCAAAGAGATTTTTCACATTTCCTAATTAGTCTCATTTTTTAAAATTTTATAAGTAATTGTTTTCTGTTTTTCCTGAGTAAAATATGTATAAGGAGAAAAAGAAATCGTAAGAAAGCACCTGATGCCAACTTTAGTTTTTTCAGTTGTTTTTGCCAAAGTCTATAAATAATTATAGCAGTTATAATTGTCGTTATGGGGCGCCAAAGGAGAACAGATGAATTCAGAATGTGCTAAATTTTAAAGGTATGTTTTTAATATAATGGTTATTTAAACAACGACAAGATTTTGAGGGTTTTGAAAATGGAACCGAAACATTTTAAATTCATATTTATGGATGCATTTTCATATTCATTTTAAGTAACAATTGCTTGCATATTTCTAACCTTTTTAGGCCATAAACACCCGGACCCTAGTAATGAGTTCCAGGCATGAGTTACGGGCAAGCGTGCATCACCTGTGGACGCGGACCGCACGTAGAAGGGCTCCTGCAGCTGCATCTGCTGCTGGTGCTGCTGCTGCTGCTGCTGGATCTCGAGCTGCTGGCGCTTCTTCTTGAGGCGGCGCTCGCGCTCCTGCATGCGCTTCTCGTCGTAGCAGCAGTAGCCGCAGTTGGCGCACAGGCAGCAGCAGAAGGCGCGCGACAACGCCCCGCGCACGCAGCGCGACAGCAGGCTGCCCACGCTCGACAGGTAGACCAGCATGAGCGGGATGCCCAGCACGGCGTACACCATGGTGCCGGCCTTGCCCAGCATGCTGCGCGGCGTCACGCTGCCGTACCCTGCAACACCACCGGCGCTTGCTCAGCGGCGCTTCCGCGCAGCCCTTCCACCACACCGGAGTGAAACACGTCAAATGGGTTATTGCTATTTAATTGCTAATTGATTGCCGCAACTGCGAATTAATTAGCAATAAATGTTTTGGGGGACTCCGACCCGAATTTAGCTTACGTGTGAGCTGGCTTGACGCGCCAAGACAGCTCACACGAAAAAACGTAATTCCAAATGGTGGCAATTAATTAGCAATGAATCGTTTGACATATTCATTCCGGTGTGCTGACATGTGACGAGGAGGTGACATGAGCGGACTCGGGCATTTTGAAATGAGTGCGCCAAAGACACTGTCGAACATCATTTGTAGAACAAACTTAAAATAAAATTATAAGTTTATACTCTTGGAATCATTCTAGATAAGCGAGACGGCAGACATGTTGGTTCTTGAGGCACCAGTGTTTGCTTTTCTTTGCAGTACTAAATTGTTTTATATGTCCGTGACTTATTTGCGCTTTGCATACGACAGATTCTATTTCGCCGTGCGTGTACCGCAAATTAAATTCCGATTAATAAAGAGCAAAGGATGTAATAGTTTCCGTGCATGAGTACTGAAAAATTAGCTTGAATAACCAATATCGGCCCAGTAAGGGCCCGTTTCTCCTACATACTTGTACACCTAATTAGACATTAGAAAATTGGTAGTTAAAATTTTAACGTCTCTCCGATATGTTTCGTTTCACCGACGTTTGCCCGTCTGCGGTTAGAATATCATTCTTTAACTTTCATGGATGTACAAAATGATTCAATACTACTACATAAAAGGCGGTGATTTGAAGACTTTGGTTCATTTATTTTTTCAATTATTTCGTTCTTGTATATGATAATCGAACTGCTACTTACATATTTTATTGCTTTCTATTTTGAAATCTGAGTTCACTTTGTTTGTTTTCAATAATCGTATACACTTATAATCGTACAGATATATGTCAAAATGTTTATGAAACTGATCAAATGCTTAATGTGCGCAATAGAAATATTCCATTTCTTCAACGATACACGTTGAAAGAAGATGTAAATACATCAACGGAAGTGCTAGTGACAAAAGAAGAGTTAGTGGAATTCAATTTAAGCCTAAGGAATAAATGTTGCTGCGATGACAACTTGGCTCTGACTTTTTCAAATGGACACACTTTCGTTTCAGCCGTCTCTCCCACGTGGATGAAATTCATAGATCAAGCCACTCGTAACTGGCACAATGGTTTTCTACAACGAGATACTCTCTTACACCTTTCATTTACTCAGAAATGTTATTTATGCCTTTCAGTTTGGCCTGAAAAAATCAGTAAGTATAGGTATGATAAAATAATTGGACATAAAACATTGACTTCAAAACTGAAACAAACTCTGAGGCATTATTCAAATGTTTTAAGGAATGCAATGTAGTTTTACATCGACGAATCTCGTCTACAAGCGCAGAAACAGGAGATTAAGCCGACCGAAAGCTATGCCCCCAGGACCCGTCGCAGGGACTTTTACAAACGAGCAACGCTCAGGTGACAGAAAAAACTCGAGGAAGAGAAATAACGAATGAGGGAAAGAAAAGAAAATGTGGGAAAGAGAAAAAGGGAATAAAATGAAGAAAGTGACCTACAGAAAGAAGAGAGTGGACGACTACGAAAGAATGTAAGAGAACATGGGAGAAAGTGTCAAACAGAAGAAAATTGAAAGAAAATAAGAAAGTGGGAATAAGAGAAAAGAGGCCAAGAAAAGTAAAAGAAAAAGAAAAAGAGAGGGAAAGAGAGGGGGTCGAAAGGAGGGAGAGAGTTTATCCGTCATCGAAGTCCCTCATAAAGTTCATAATTCTGAACAAGTCTCAAAATGAGATATTTTTCTTCGAGTCGTGAAGGGCTGTGGAAATTGAATAAGTGCAAGAATGTATTGTTAATGTACACAAATATATTTTGGCCAAGGATTGATTGACATGTGTTTACATGAAGTGCAACAATGAAAAAATACCCAGAATTCAGTGGCGGTTCCAAATACAATTTTGAGAGTGGGGCCTAAAATCATGAATAGAACGTAGAGTGGCTGTAGGAAAGGTAACAGAAACCATGGAGAAATTTAGTTTACGATGATAAAACAATAACTTTGCATCTTCTCTGTCAAATATTTCACATCAACAACTGAGTTTATTGTCTATGCAGTGTCAATTTGGGGAGAACACAATAAACACGCAAGACAATAAAAACAATCACTTCGTCACATTCACAGTCATTTAGCTTTTAATAATGTTTTCTTTAAAGTACCTATTAAAAGAGAGACTACATATTTTATTTGTCTGAACAATGTCAAGTTTCAGTTGGAGTGGTCCCATTCTCTGTAAGCATACTCGCATTGCATAGTGAAGAACAGCTGTTTTTGAATATTTCACAAAATTCGAACACATAATTAAATAATACGCTGCCTAAGAGCACAGAAGGAAAGAAAAACACGACCAGGATACGGTGTCCTATACACCAGGGCATATCCAGCCGTTCATTTTGGAGGGGGTCTTCAGACATTTTTTGTTAAACAATGAACATTTGTTATCCCTACATTGTATACTATTATTGTTGTGTATGTATTATACTACACAATATCATTTTTTAAATAATTACGTAATTCTAAAATAAATATTTCAATTTTCTTAACACAAATATTTCATAAATCAATTTTGCGAATTAAAAGATGGTAACAAACAAAACCTCTAAGCCTGAGGGGGGGGGCATGACCTCGTGCCCCCCCCCTTGGATCCGCCACTGCCATCACAACCAAACGAAACCGTGGCAAGCAAAGAATATCAAACAGTGAAAGTGGAAGCTAGATGCAAGTAACCAGTAAATCCGCAGTGAATATGGTCATGGTGGAAGAAATATTCTTCCAACATGGAATACGTTTTATGCACCACTTCACCCTGTGGCCAAAACGAAGGAAACAAATTTTGGAGACGGAGTTAAATAACTCGGCAGTAGGTTACTCTGGACCACCTGCAAAAATTGACAGCCGCCATTTCACAGTCCCATGTTGCAATTTCCACAATTCCTAAGCATTGAGCTAATGGCTGCTCTGCATTTGACTACACTGAACTATGCCACAGTTCTTGAATATCCCTGACCAATGAGAATGAAGGAAGCAGTGTATGAAATGGCGGCCTATTTGTATTCCGAACAAAATTAAGTTAACGCTGAAAATTAACACGGCAAAGAACTACGACAATATCAAATACTATACAGAAGGAAAGGTAGATGTGCAGTTATTGGGAGGGCAGTGCCCCTTAAACCTCTCTGCCATAGCCACCACATATCAGTTAGTATCAACGAATTGTAAACTTTGAATTCTATTTTCTCAGAGCTGAAAACGCGCCCGTTATCTTCCTTCCGTCATCTCACGACGATTCGATTATTTATTTTCACAGCTTACAGAACAGGTGGATAAAAAAACTATTTTAGAAAGAGGCCAGTTCGGTTTGGAATGCTCCAGTCTCATGAATGGTTTTGAAATAATATTTGTTTGTTGATTTGTTCGTACTTCATTCGATTGCGATAAAATTTTGTCAAAACTTGAGGAAAAAATATAGGCATAGTACAATAGGAATGTACATATGCCTGCGCCCGTAGACGCGCGTTAATGATGATTTAGTGCTAACCCCAACGCCCCACTTCAGGCTTTCTACCCAACGGCCCTCTACGCAACCCGCAGCACTCTAAAGTGTTAAAATTGTCTGCACCTGCAATTGTGAAATAACGCCCGGGAAAGACTGGCACAGACGGAGAAAGATGGAGAGGGTGATAGAGACGGAGAGACGGGAGAGAGACGGGGAGAGAGACGGGGAGAGAGACGGAGTGAGAGACGGGGAGAGAGACAGGGGTCGATACGGTGAGGGACAGGGACGACGGGAGGGAAGTAGAGAGAAAGGGAGGGGGAAGAAGAAAGAGGGAGGCGAAGGGCAGAACAACGTCTGCCAGGTTCCGCTAGTTCATATTGAGAATACTTAAGTGTTATGTGATTAATATGTGGTTTTTGATTGAATAAATAGAGCTTTGGTGTTGGTGGTGGAAGTGGGAGGGAGGCAGAGAACCCAGTGACCCTTCGTGGATTCGCCACTATTACAGGAGACGGTTAAGAGAGATAAGGAGAGCAGAAGAGAATAGAGAAGAGGATGAAACAGGAGAGCGGAAGAGAGAAAATTATATAAGAGAGAGGCAGAAGAGAGAATAGGGTAGAAGAGAAGAGAAAAGAAAAGCATGGGAGAGGAGGGGAGATATAAGAGGAGCGGAGATGTTAGAAGGGGAGAGAAGAAGTTAGAAAGGGAGAGAAGAGGAGAAAAGAACGGATCAGTGTGGAAAAGAGGGTAGAAGAGATGAGCGTAGGTGGGGAAAGAATAGACGAGGAGAAAAGCAGATAGAAGAGGAGAGCAGAGGACACGAGGAGAACAAAGGCGAGAAGATAGGTGACAAGTGAAGAGCAGAGAAGGGAGATGACATAATAGAAAGCGGAAGAGAGAAGTGTTTGTCAGAGGATAAAATAGATAGAATAGGAGAGAAGGGGAGAATGGAGGTGAGAAGACGAGAGCACAGGAGAGAAGATAAAAGGGGATAGAAAAGAATAGAAGGGGTGAGCGGGGGCGAGAAGAGAAGAGCGGAGGGGAGATGATGGCAGTGTACAGAAGAAAAAGAAGGAAAAAGAGAGGAGAAGAGAGATGAGGTGAAAAGAAGATGGTAGGCAAGAGAAGAAGAGTGAGATTAGAGGAGAGGAGACGCGAGCAGCGAGCGGGCGAAGAGGGCGAAGCCTTGATCTTGTCCGCGCCGCCGCCGTGCCGGCCCAGCCCTGGCCTTAATGAAGGCCGCCCTATCAAATAATTGGTCTCGCGCCATAAAGCGCGGAGGTCGCGAGGTGGGCGATAGCAGAGGCCCGAACGGCCGCTTTTAGAGCCCCGCGCGCGG